GTTGGAGGAGAGCTTTGTGTATGTCATGTATTGCCAGAAGGACAAATAAGTGGTGCTAGATCAAATTAAGTCTGAACTACTTCAAACAACAAAAATGCCTAAACTGAGGCTATCATATTTTTGGCACACTGCAAGAAAACAAAACTTACTAGGAAAGGTAATAATGCTGGGGAAAATGGAAGGTCCCAGGAAAAGAGGGAGACTGAACATGAGAAGGATTATCCAGGAGTTGAGTCGTGGCAACTGGACATCTTTCTTATAAGGTTGAAATGTTTCACTACTCATCCAAGTAGCTTCTTCAGTCTGAGGAGAGTTGGTAGGAGACCCCTGATAGATCCTCCATATTGGTTTCACTTCCCCCTGGTCTGAATAGGCTCCTTAGATGGACAAGGGATGGAGGGGTGAGTGAAAATCCCACTTCTGCAGTCCTTCTCCATCCATTGTAATGGGTCGTTAACAGTTGTTAGCAGTGGTCTTTCTGGTGGGTGTGGTCCTGATTCTTCTGGGGATGGATGAAAGGGCAGCATGATAAACAGGAGACTGCGTCTAAGGCCTCCGCCCCTGTTGAGTGAGGGATTTTCTATATACACCTACATGGCCTCCCTGACCCCTCTCTCAAATCAACTATCTTCTGATTCCAAGGAAGGACAGCTCTTTGAAATAGTTCAGAGTTACAGTAATTTGATCTACTGCCTGCTTATTACCACTTCTGGCAATACATAATATATCCAAAGCTCTAAAAAAGCCACTTGGATGAGTAGCGAAACCTTTCAGCCTAGTAAGAAAGAAGTCCAGTTACCACGACTCAACTTCCAGATAACCTCACCTGGACGACTGAGAATCTTCACAGATGAGAAGGATTGATTCAGCAAAGGAATCCATGCCTTTGTAGGATCAGAGCAAGGCCTTTTGGAGGTCTCTGATTATTAGGACCATGCATGGAACAATCACAAGCAGCCTTGAATTCTTGCTCTGCTCTCTCCTTTTACCTTCTGACGACTCTGCCGGGAAGAGGCTAGAGAGGGTGCTGACCAAGCTTGTTGGATGTCTCCATTTCCTGACTGGAAGCCTGCTCTAATCCAGAATCTAGGAAAGTGATTATCTTGAACTAAGGCTCATCTCTGAATGCAGAGCACTCAATGCCCAGACATATTCTTCCCTTGCTCTCCGTGGAGGGTGGTGGCAAGTGCACAGCTGAAGAGGAATGTGAGCCCAGCTCTCGCAGGACAAAGCACACAACTCCATCTGCTCCCTGAACAGATTTTTCAACAGACGGCAGGAAAAAGGACACATTTTGCAACCCACAGAGTAATAGGCTATTACAACGATGACCTGCTTGCTGTAATCACAACAAAATGCTTTCATTTTATTTTTTCCCCTTTTATTGTGAAAAGAGGAAAGAGAAGCCAGTTTGAGGCTTGCTCAACAAGAAAAAAGAGGGATGGGCACTATAATGGCAGTGGCTAAGACAGCAGCTTAATACTTTCCTCCAACACCCAACCCTAAGGAGTTGAAACATCTGAGCAGGAAAATTAGTGAAACAGCACTCAAGTTCAATTTGCAATATAAGCCAGGGATCAAGCTGTTGCAAAGATTTGCAATTAGAGTGCTACTTTGGGTTTAAATTCCATGGGCATAAAAGAGGATTTACTGGAGACTTTGAAGGTCCAGAGCTGGGAAAGGGACAGTTTGAAAAGTAATTTGACAATCCAAGGGTGGAAAGAGCTGAGCAGATCAAACACAGGCAACAAGTCTGGTCAGATTCTTCTATTCAGCCACTAGCAACAAAAGTGGGAGATTTCTTCAAGAATGCCTTGAATACCCCAATAAAACAATCCATTTTATAACAGGCATTTTACAAAGCAACAATGAGCTTGAAAGCTGCAGAAATCGACACTATTTCCCTTCAAGGTCATGACCAGTGGAAAAGAAAGAAATTAAGTTAAATGTAAACACAACAAATTCTTGCACACCATCTCTACTTGAATGCTTCTAGTCATGCTGGCAACAGAAATATAACTTGCAATTCTAGATACCATCTCTCTTTATTTACTGTTTCCACATGCATTTTACCCAGAATCCCAACATCCCCCATTTCAAAGAAGATCTCAAAATTTTTGTTAAACACGTATTTCGGATTTCTAGGATCTCTGAAATCAGAGAGAACCAATTGCCACAGTGACATGGATGACCTTCCAAGAAGGATGACTCCTACATGATGCCAAAGGCAGATGATTTATTTACAGTCCATGTGTAAAACTAGTCTCTACTTCATCCCATTCAGAAAAACACATCCATCTTCCAAATATAGAACTCCAGCTTCTTCCAGAAAACATTTTAACATCCCTGAAGGTTAGGCACTTTACAAATGGCACTGAGTATGGAGTGCTAAGGAACTAAAGAGTGAATCCCCTTTTTGCCTCTCTGGCTTGTACCGAATGAGAGCTTATAAGGAAATGAGCTACAAATAACAGAGTTATAAGCAACATGTCTCTTTTCTCGATAACAGGGGTAGAATACTTACTGTACATTTCAAAAATTTATGTTAATAAGTACCCTGTTTTCCCGAAAATATGACCTAACCTGAAAATAAGCCCTAGTATGATTTTTAGGATGCTCATAATATACCGTATTTTT